GTCTGCCTATATCGCCGCCATCTTCTTTTTTTCGATTTTGCTGTTCTTAATTTAATTCTGGAACTCAATTTTACTCCCAAACCATAATTACCATATTATCTTTGTAATGCATAGTTGTATGCAATTCAGGAAAGCAGTAGTATACCATCAGGCTCTGTTTACCCAGAGCTTAGGAAAAACAGGATTGGTCGCACCCATTTAAAAACAAATCCCAGCCGACACCGGTGTGGCTCAGTGGATAGAGCGTCGGCCTGCGGACTGAAGGGTCCCAGGTTCAATTCCAGTCAAGGGCATGTACCTGGGTTGCGGGCACATCCCCAGTAGGAGATGTGCAGGAGGCAGCTGATCGATGTTTCTCTCTCATCGATGTTTCTGGCTCTCTGTCTCTCTCCCTTCCTCTCTGTAAAAAATCAATAAAATATATTTAAAAAACAAAAACAAAAACAAATCCCAATGCATGGTTTCAGTGTGAGTTCTGACAGTGAAATATATGGTATATGTCTCTAAGTCTCATCTTGATTTTCAAATGTAGGCACAGGATGTTCTTCACAGCTCAGCTTTGCCCAGCTGGAGCTGAAGATTTTGTAACTTCATAGCAAAACCCATGTTGCCAGTGATTTTCAATTTGCCTTGAGAGAAGGCCCACTGAGTATTCATTTTATGTGTCATTAAAGCCATCAAGTCCAAGTCAGCTATTGTAATTGGGCAGTCAGCCTTATCTGAGCCAGGAAGCACTAATTCTTTGCCAGTTTTCACATCCACCCAGGTGGCTTCTTTACCCCGGGGCCATCCTCCACCTTGAAGGCAAAAATGTCACAACTGTTCCTCTGCCTCTTCTAGCTCCTTCTCAGTTTCCTTAAAAAACAAGATTTGCCTTTAACCCTTCAACTGCAGCTCTGGTTGGAGCAGCCTCAATTTGATGAGCTCTGGCAGCTTCGGGAAAACCCATCTTGTAGATTGCGACCACTACAGCTCCTCAGAGGCATAAATTATGCTGCAGAGCAACCTTTGCACCAGGAACTTGCCTTTTCTCTACTGTATTTTTTCATTCGGGTATTGAGTTTTTTAATTTTCCACTTCGGAGTGGTTTTTTTGTTTTTGTTTTTGTTTTTAATATATTTTATTGATTTTTTACAGAGAGGAAGGGAGAGAGATAGAGAGTTAGAAACATCGATGAGAGAGAAACATCGATCAGCTGCCTCCTGCACGTCTCCTACTGGGGATGTGCCTGCAACCCAGGTACATGCCCTTGACCGGAATCGAACCTGGGACCTTTCAGTCCACAGGCCGACGCTCTATCCACTGAGCCAAACCGGTTTTGGCCGGAGTGGTTTTTTAAAAAATACTTTCTCATTGTATTTTTATTTTGGTCATAATGTTTTCCTGATGTTATACAGTAGTCATTTTTTTCTACATTTTGTTTTTAAGATACTTGTTTTCCCTTTTTTTCACTTAAGTAATTTATTTTCATTGATGTAGTGCCACTTTGATTACATATATTTTGTGTTTCTGAAGGGACACTTTGTTTCTTTGCATGACTTGATATCTTTTGTTGAGATTCAGGAATTGTAAACAAGCAGGCTTTTGAACATGTTTTCTGTAGGAGGAAACAAATAATAACCGTCTGTGGAATAAATTCCAATTTCAGTCAACACTTTTTCAGGATCTTTATTCTTGGATCGGTTGTCTGTTTAATTTCCCAGTTGGAAATGTTCTCTGTTTCTTTCTCAGGCCCATGGTATCTTTTCAGGCTTGATATACATCTTCAGTACCACAGTCTTTGTGGTACTTGAACACTTTCTCATTGTTTCTTTGTAGCAGCCACTACAGTGCACTCACCGGTTACTGCCATTCTGTTCGCACTCTGTGTCATGCACAACAGACACATGTTCTTCAAGATGCTTCAAAACAGGGAGATCATTGAACATGCACTTCCCTCATCTCTCTCTCCAACGAAGAAACTGGGAGGTGGGAGTGTTTTTATAATGTTGCCATCGTGTGCCAGGGGGGTTAATTAAGCAGGTATCAGTGGCAAAAGTAAGCACCTCTTGTCCCACTTTGATATGACTTTTCCTCATTGTACCTATCTTGAGCTTTTTTTGAATCGTTCACTTGCATTTGGAGTACTCAAAACTGTCATTTGCTCAACACTTGCTGGTAAGTTGAAAGTATAGTCACCTGGCCGAAACCGGTTTGGCTCAGTGGATAGAGCGTCGGCCTGCGGACTGAAAGGTCCCAGGTTCGATTCCGGTCAAGGGCATGTACCTGGGTTGCGGGCACATCCCCAATGGGAGGTGTGCAGGAGGCAGCTGGTCGATGTTTCTCTCTCATCGATGTTTCCAACTCTCTATCTCTCTCCCTTCCTCTCTGTAAAAAATCAATAAAATATATTAAAAAAAAGAAAAAGAAAAAAAAAAAAAAGAAAGTATAGTCACCTGATTGTCGAAACTGAAAATTTATTTCTTTCAGCGATGACATCTGAAGATGAACAGGCCTTTTTGCCAAAGCCCGAACCACAAGATGTATGCTCTGAAATAATACTGGTAAGATATTGTAGTGGCTTTGATAATGTACACTTGAGAGACTTGGAATTTGAGAAAGTTGATGAGAAGAGAGAACCCTATATAATAAAAGCCTGATATGCTAAGTATCTGGTTGTCTAGGCGTCTGTTCAACCAATCAAAGCAAAATATGCTATTGATATGCTAAAGCTGCTCAACTGCTTGCTATGACATGCATTGACCACCAGGGGGCAGACACTTAACATAGGAACTGCCCCCTGGTGGTCAGAACGCTCCCACATGGGGAGCACCGCTCAGCCAGAAGCCAGGCTCATGGCTGGCGAGCGCAGTGGCAGTGGCAGGAGCCTCTCCCACCTCTGCCGTGGGAGTTGGACATCCCCCGAGGGCTCCGGACTGGAGAGGGCACAGGCCAGGCTGAGAGGACCCCCCTGAATGCACAAATTTTGTGCACCGGGCCTCTAGTATTAATATGAATAGAACTAACCCATAATCGTTATTAATAATAAAATTATTGTTACCAAAAGAGGTCAAGGGTATTATGCATTTGAGAAACCTGCCACTTTAAAGTCAATTACGTTGGCAGATCAGTGTGTTTCCGCACATGAAGGTAGAAAATGACTTTTTACTATTGTATGTCCTTGGAAAGGAAATCTGAAAAAAAACTAGAAAGTCTGTGTTATGAATAATCATTTAATTGTTTAAAGTGTGTGGTGGAATTAATTGTTCAGTCAATCCTTTCTAAAATTTTGAGATTTATAATGTACTTATGCAATTTAAATGTGCTCAATTTTACAATATATTTTTATTTTTTTTAAATACATTTATTATTTCAGAGAGGAAGGGAGAATGAGAAGAACATCAATGTTGAGAATCATTGATTGGCTGCCTCCTGCATACCTCTCACTGGGGTTCAAGCCCACAACTCAGGCATGTGTCCTGACCAAGACTCAATCCCTAACCTCCTTGTTTATACATCTTCACTTAAACACTTAGCCACGCCTTCCAGGCATTTTGGCAATCTTTTAAACAAGGATTCATTATTATTCCTCTGACAATTAAACATTTTATTTTATTTTTATATTTTTTATAGTTTGGGGATGCTTTTTGTACACAACCATCTTGGTTTAATGAGTATCACAAAATGGTTCTTATAAAACAAGTGTACACGTTTAATTAAATTATTACTATCACTGAAAACCTTTCTATCTCTCGTTATCACCAGGGTACATATACTGAAGACAGAAGTTATCAATGGAACGCATATTGGAAAACCATTAAGCAAGAGCCATATCATAATAATCATTGGAGAAGTGAGCTTGCAGAGGATCATTATGAAAGTGAAAAACTCTTTGACCAAATGTCCAATCACAGTATACATCAAGTTATTCCTATTGTGGAGATGATACTCAAAGAAAGTAAATGTGAGGAATCTCTTCAGGAATCTTCAACTTACACCAAACAAGAGGGTATTCATGCTGGGGAGGAGGCTTACAAAGGAAATGCCTGTGGTAGAATCTCCAGTCAAATATTCAATCCAAGTAAACTGGAAGAAATCCATAGTGGACAAGACCCTTATGAATGTAAAGGTTCTAGTACAACATCTAATTGGCCTTCAGGTTTTACTCTAAATCAGAAATTTCATACCGGAGAGAAGACTTACAAATGTAAAGTATGTGGCAAAGCCTTTAATCACTCCTCACACCGTAATCGTCACCAGCGTATTCATACTGGAGAGAAGCCTTATAAATGTGCAGAATGTGGCAAATCCTTTGGGTCATCCCCACAGCTTACTCTGCATCAGAGAGTTCACACTGGAGAGAAGCCTTATAAATGTAGGGAATGTGGCAAAGCCTTTGGATGCTCCTCAGGCCTTATTAAGCATCAGAGAGTTCATACTGGAGAGAAGCCTCATAAATGTAGAGAATGTGGGAGAGCGTTCAGTGAGACCTCAGGCCTTAAGCGACATGAGAGAGTTCATACTGGACATAAGCCTTATAAATGTAGAGAATGTGACAAAGCATTTAGCTACTCTTCATCCCTTACTTCTCATCAGAGAGTTCATACTGAAGAGTGGCCTTATAAATGTAGAGAATGTGGCAAAGTTTTAAGCAAGGCCTCAACCCTTATTGAACATCAGAGAGTCCATACTGGAGAGAAGCCTTATAAATGTAATGAATGTGGCAAAGCCTTTAGTCAGTCCTCAACCTTTAATAAACATCAGAGAGTTCATACAGGAGAGAAACCTTATAAATGTAATGAATGTGGCAAAGCCTTTTGGCATTACTCGGGCTGTATAAACCATCAGAGAATTCATACTGGAGAGAAGCCTTTTAAATGTAATGAATGCGGCAAAGACTTCAGGGAGTCGAGAAAACTTACTCGCCATAAGAAAATTCATACTCGTGCCCTAGGTGATTTGGCTCAGTGGATAGAATATCGGACTGCAGACTGAAGGGTCCTAGGCTCAATCCCAGCCAAGGGCACATACCCAGGTTGCGGCCATGATCCTCAGTTGGGGGTGATCAACTAGTCTCTCTCATCATTGATGTTTCTATCTATCTCTCCCTCTCCTTCCCTCTGACTCAATAAAAATTTAAAAAGTTGTAGGTTTGCCCTAGCTGGTTTGGCTCAGTGGATAGAGTGTCGGCCTGCGGACTGAAAGGTCCCTGGTTCGATTCCAGTCAGGGGCATGTACCTTGGTTGTGGGCACATCCCCAGTAGAGGGTGTGCAGGAGGCAGCTGATCAATGTTTCTCTCTCATTGATGTTTCTAACTCTCTATCCCTCTCCCTTCTTCTCTGTAAAAATATCAATAAAATACATATATATATTTTTTTAAAAAGTTGCAGGTTTGGTTCATAGTGTACAAAGACCCAGATTGGGAGTGTGATTCCTGGTCTGCTCAGGGGATGTTCGGGAGGCAACCAATAAATGTCTTGCACATACAGTGGGGCCTTGACTTACGAGTTTAAGTCGTTCCGTGACGGAGCTCACAACTCTAATTACTCGGATGTCAAATCACTGTGACGTTCGCTGCGCCAACTAGCAGTGGGGTATCTGAAGCGGCTCGTAACCCGAATTTTTTTGAGCTTGCAACTCAAAGCAAAAAATCGTCCGAGAGACGGCTAGTATCTCAAAAAAACTCGTTGGTCGGGACACTCGTAAGTCAAGGCCCCACTGTAGATGTTTCTATCTGTTCCTTTATAATTTCACTCTAAAAATATGTTTAAAAAATTGTTTCAAAGAAAAATTTCCCATCTCCCTGCAGCCCCAGAGAGTTGCCCTGCCAGCTGGATACACCTGGGTGTATGCGCCTAGGAGAAAGCAGCAGAGAAGGGCTCAGCCACCACAGAATTAGGTGAAAAGATTAATTTTGGATGATATAAGCTATTAAACTTAGGGGTTTTTTATTCTGTGACAAAGACTAGTTGAAAGCCCTAGCTGGTTTGGCTCAATGGATAGAGCGTCTGCCTGTGGACTGAGGGGTCCCAGGTTCGATTCCGGCCAGGAGCACATGCCTGGGTTGCGGGCTCGTTCCCCAGTGGGGGGCATGCAGGAGGCAGTCAATCAGTGATTCTCATCATTGATGTTTCTCCCCCTCTCTTTTCCTCTCTAAAATTAATAAAATATATATATATTTTTTAAAAGACTAGTTGAAAGAGAAGAGACGAAGATTGAGGTGCTCAATAATAAAAACCTAATCTGTGTGACATGGCCTTGGGACTGGCTAGTGAATAGAGGCTGGAAGGAGATTTAGTGGACAGGTACATGCGAGGGAACTAGAATTGAAGGAACTAGGATTGAAGTCTGGAAGCGTGGGAAATCATGTTTTGGTTTAGGGAAAAGTTGATCTAAATTAAAGGTCCCAGTTCCTACACAGTTGCTTCAACCTCACTACCAACATTTGCCTTCCTATACCACATGAAGCAGAACCACCTGGCCAACCCATAGACTCATAAGAAATATTGAATTATTGCATTAAGGGAATCAGTTTTGGGGTGGTTTATATAACATAATGAACTTGAGATGCTGAGTGTTGAGATGCTGAGTGAATTGTGTCTCCTCAAAATGGATACTTTGTGGCCCTAACCCCCAATATGTCTATTTGGAGATAGGGTATTTAAGGAGGTCATTAAGGTTATATGAGGTCACAAGAGTGGGGTACTAATCTGTTAGAAGTGGGGTTCTTATAAAAGAAGGAGATAGAATAACCAGTCTACATGTTAGAAGTTTCATTTGGACAATATTATCCAGAAAGGATAGCTCGCCCTAACCGGTTTGGCTCTGTGGATAGAGCGCCGGCCTGCGGACTGAAGGGTCCCCGGTTTGATTCCGGTGAAGGGCATGTACCTTGGTTGCAGGCACATCCCCAATAGGGGGTTTGCAGGAAGCAGGTGATCAGTGTTTCTCTCCCGTCGATGTTTCTAACTCTCTATCCCTCTCCCTTTCTGAAAAAATCAAAATATATTTCAAAAGAAAGGATAGCTCAATGTCTTTCTGCGCTAAGTCAGCAATATTTTGATGTGTTTAATTTTGGAATAGGTGTCACATTAAAATGCTTCATGAAATAATAAAAGGTGTGTAGTGAAAAAACAGTATTTAAGGTTAAGTGTTGGACACATTTGTCTTACTAATGCAGTTTATCACAATGTTCTTTAAAAGGTTTATTTTTAAGCAGTGCTGTTATCCTAAATGCTCACATGTCTTAGTCATCCAAGTCTCATATCCGAGGTCGTGTCCCTCTGAAAGACTGGAACGCAATGCTGTTGAGTATTGGTCACCCTGGGGAATGAATAAGGAAGCAAGAAAGGCTGCTGGTGTCAGTATGAAATTACCTGTCTACCCAGGGAGAATTTTGTTTCTTCATCCTCACACAGACGATCGCAATTTTTGTTTAATGAAAGTGCTTACATGAATTCTAATTACAGTCATGTTACTGGGTTCAAGCCCCTCTCCACCTCCTGCCCCTCGCTGAGGTCCAGTTCCTGCAGAGTTGCTTCAGCCTCACTACCAACATCTCCCTGCATGACCTGGGAATGGGTGGGGGCAAATTAGCTCCTGGCATTACCCTTTGCAATTGTCAGTTTCCAACACACATGGAAATCTTTCTGAGTGTTTTCATAATAAATATTTGTAGCTGAATGTGTGAGTCCCTGACTTTAATACCTTCACCACTGAGAATGGAGAGGGATGTGGACAAACAGACATCACTGCTGGAGAGGGTTTCATTCCATTGTCAGTTTTATGGAGGAAATCCACAGGAAAGTCGGGAAGTTGGAGATCACTTTTACCACATCATTTCTGGAGGTTGCCTTTGCCCCTGTGGATTGTATCCTCTGCCACAGAGAAGGCTCCTGTTGGATGCAGGGGAGGTTTCATCAGGGTTTATGTCGGGGTATTCCCCTCGTTCCATTGGTGTATGGGTCTGTGTTAATCCAGGATCACACCCACTTGGTTGCTCTTGCTTTGTAAAATGTTTTCCAGTGTAAAAAAGTGAATCGTCCAGCTTTCCTACATTTGAAGTGTTTGGCTGTCCCACATCTCTTTTGCTTGGTTCCATATGAATTCTAGTGTTGTTTATTATATTACAGCCAAAATTGCCTTGGAATTTCCGTAGGTAATCTATTGTGTAGACACTTGGACATAGTAAGAAATGTCTCCATTTATTTGTATCTGTTTAGCATTGTGTCATTTTCATTGTAAAAGTTTTTACTGTATGTGTAGAATGGATTGTCTGTGTGTTATGTGTGGTGTGTTTTCTGGCTTTGGGTGGCAATAGTTGATATTTTATTGGTCTAAAGAGATGAAATATATAGGTTAAACATAATCGAGTCGGACTTACTGTAAATTAGAGGTTTCTGATCGGGCCATATCTTTAAAGTAAATAGAGATTTATAAAACTCAAAGGAATACCTATATTCATAACAATACTAGAAAATACTCAAACAGAAATGGTGATGGGACTAAGTAAACTGATAATAGTTATTCTATATATATGTAAAAGGCTAAGTGACCGACCAGCTGTTCGGGCACACTGACAGCTTAAAAATAAAGGTAGACTTTTGCGCATGTGATACATATAAAGCTCTCGCTGGCGCCTATCGCATGGGTGTTTTAATTATATAACACTATACTATATAAACTATTTTGACAATTTTTTAAAATATATTTTATTGATGTTTTAAAAGAAATTTTTTTTTTTTTTTACAGAGAGGAAGGGAGAGGTATAGAGAGAAACATCAATGAGAGAGAGACATTGATCAGCTGCCTCCTGAACACCTCCTACTGGCATATGCCCACAACCAAGGTACATGCCCTTGACCAAAATCGAACCTGGGACCTTTCAGTCCGCAGGCTGATGCTCTACTCCATGAGCCATACCAGTTAGGGCTTGACATGTAGCTTTTGCAGTAATGTAATTACCACACAAATCTTTCTTCTAATTAATTTCCTTTCAATATGCAAGAATCCCTGCACCAGGCCACTAGTATTCTAATAGCTCTGTTTTAAATATTGTTGATTTTAAAAAAGTTTTGTTTCCCAAATACAAGGAAAACTAACAGGAGACATTCTACATTAATATCAGTGTCCCATTCACTAGGTTATGGGGACTACTAAAGTCAAAATATTCCGTTAAAAATGCATTCCCCCGATAAGTGGCGGAGGCCTGTCTGGGCTGGGCCCCGCAGGGCAGCGGGGGCGAGGGCGGGATCCTAGCCACAGCCTCAGCCGGTGCTGGTGCCAGAGACTGCTGGAGCAGGGTGCGCGGCCTAGGCACTGAACTAGACAGAATGAGAATATGGAAATGAATAAAGTACAGACTCAACTAGCAAAAACCTCATAGAATCCTTAAGAATGAAAATGAGCCCTAACCGGTTTGGCTCAGTGGATAGAGCATCAACCTGAGGACTCAAGGGTCCCAGGTTCAATTCCAGGCAAGGACATGTACCTTGGTTACAGGCACATCCCCAGTAGGGAGTGTGCAGGAGGCAGATGATCGGTGTTTCTCTCTCATCCATGTTTCTAACTCTATCCCTCTCCCTTCCTCTCTATAAAAAATCAATAAAGTATATTTTAAAAAATGGATTCCCCCCTAAATGCATTCCCAGAACACACAAAGACTTCAAAGACCAAAATTAACAACCGGAAAATTTTTATCCCTTGAAAAATACATAAATTAAAATTTCCTTCTCACTGTGTTGGGTGGGACTGTATCAGGGGCCTAACCATGAATGGATCTGGGTCTATCTGTGAGACCCCCATCCTCCTGCTTCCTTAACTCAAGCTGCCTCTCCCTTCAGCTGGGGAGACAGGGAGGGGCTGAGACAGCAGGCTGCCCTTCCCCTCCCCCCTCCTCACTGAGGGTTTAAGGATCCAGGTTAATCGCAGGCAGAAAGTTTCTGGTTTCAAACCCAACCTGCCCGCCTTTTGAGTTCCCTGTAACTTCACTGTAAGAATGTGCTCCTGGCTTGTGAAGATCCTGGGAAA